ACAATTATTATGGTTTCAAAATCTGGCATAATTGGCAAATTTCTTTTAAACTCATTATGTTTTCTTTCAGAAAGTGCAAGTCGGCAGGAATTACAAATTGAGACCGGAAATCTTCATGATGTATATTAAAATTATTATTAAGAAACTCGCGTAAAAGATTTTGAAGTTTTGGGGTGATACGAAAAGCTCAAGCGCTCTTTTTTCCAAAAACTATCTTCTTACCACAACAAGCACACTATTATCTTCGTGGTCGCACTTAAATTTTGGATTAGTATTCATATTGCATTCCAATTTAAACACTCAAATTTAAACACTCAAATTGACATTGGTTGTTACTTGCAGTCATGGAAACTTGATTTTCCATATATTCCAAATCAAAATACCACCCATTAGTATTTGAGGACATAAAGAAAGTTGAAGCATTTATATCAATATGTAAAAATAGTAAAATTTTACACATGATAAAAAAATAAGAGAAGAATCAGCTAAGATTTTATCTTAATTTTAATTATTATTGCCAAGGCGCCTGCTGAAATCTAAAGAGTTTTGGATTCGTCATTTTATTTTGCCCTATATTATACTGGGGGACACCGTGACTAGATGTTCAAATTTTAAAAATAATTTCTACTTGTTATAAAACCATTAACGGGGTATATACCTAAATATTCGCTGTAAATGGTTTTATAACAAGTGAAAAGATTCGGTTATGCTTGCTTTTTATTTTTAAATTTACTTACATTATTCGTATAACTTGACACGCCTACCAATAAACCATTAGATTATAACATCGTTACGTCACTGTGAAAAATCTAGGTCTGTCTGGGATCAAAAATTCATAACTTTTTAATTCAGAAATAGACTGCTAAAATTTTGTACCTAGGTACATAAAGTAGATTGCAAAGCTTTAAATAAATTGCTATAACATATAAAAATAATTAATTAATAATTAATTTTATTTTTAAAATTTTAAACCCCATTTAAAGAGCATAAATTAGCTGTAATTTTTAATTTATTTTTATTTTTTATAAATCGTGTCCAAAATATTTAAGATATTTGTTAAACTTCGTTATTATGTTAAATTTGTGGGATTTTTTCTTCTGATTAAAAAAGTGAAAATAAAAAAAACAAATAAATGTTGAGTTTCTCAAATATTCACAAAAATTAATAAAATTTAAATAGGACACCCTGTATGTTTACTTTTTAAAAGAAAATTTAACTACCCCAAAACTAAAAATAAACATTTAATAAACTTTCTGATAGTTGTTGAAATAGCAAAGTTATTACTTTATTTAAAAAACAATCAGATAGTTCAAGTGCTTTTTTAAAATATACAGGGTATTCAATTTAAAAAAATGTTATTCCGGAAACCCGACGTTCAATAGTATTTCTGTTTTCAACATTTTAATAAAAAAAAATACCACTAATTTTCTAATTTACCCAACTTTGTAGCTCCACTAATAACGGAGTTGGCAATGGTGAGCAGGTAACTTTGGACAAGGTGTATATTTAATATACCCTATGCCACATAGGACTTAACTAAAACTCATAAAATAATATTTTTAGTGAAAAAAAAAGGATTTTTTGATGTGTCTAATACATCAAAATAAATCCAAATAAAATATTTATTCATTTAAACCCTTGTAATCTACTAATTTAAATTCCTAGAACTTTTTTTTAAATAAAAATTTTAGATACATGGGTTTAATTATTCCAAAAAAACAGTTGATCGAGTTTTATAACATTTTTTCAAAAAATTTCGATATTAACAATAACTAGCAGCTAATTTTTATAGATGTTTCTGACTATTTCCCTCGTCTTAATTTCCACCAATCACAAACGCGCAATTTTGAATAACAAATGGTTTCTAGGTGAAAAAACTGTGTGACAGCACCTGTCAGCAGTTTATTCGAGTTTACCCGCGGCTAAACTTGACAGCTGTTGTTACCAAAAATTGCAATTTATATTTTAATTGTTAACTGTTACTCATGAAATAGTCTTGTCAAATACAATTCGGGCATCTAATTTTTCCTGGGAAAAAAATCGAAAAAACACAATGCTAAGTAATATTTTTTAACAAAATGCATTCGTGCAGGTGCAAAAATCCTCCTCTTCGACTCGGATTTTTGTTGCCACCAGCACTCATGCTTTTTGTTAAAATATTACTTAGCAACGTGTTTTTTCGATTCTTTTCGGAAAAATTAAATGCCCTTATGATATTACTTACGATAAATTCCCAGGCTACAAATAAAGATTAAATTTAAAGCATTGGTAAACGTTAATATTCTCGTCCAATTTCAAGCAGGCAACAAAAAAACTATAAGTTGTCCTTCTAAAGATGTATATATAGATGTATACATATATATATATATATATATATATATATATATTAGGGTGTCCCTTATTTTTTATTTTTTCACGCATACCATCTAATTATATTTATTACGTGTTTATATACTCCCAGTAAAAATTTCAGCTCATTCTATAAACGGGAAACCGTGCCGACTTGCATCTGAACCCTCCGTTAGCCAACGTTAGGCGCGCGGTATTTTGTAACACGGTTGGTCGCGAGGTCTTCGATCGTAAGTCATTTTGTGTTTGTTATTATGTGACCCTTATATTATAAATTATTGACAAATGTTAAAATATAGTTTTATTTATGTGTATACTTTGATAAAAATGTATATTTTCACAGGGAGTGGCTAGTTACCCGGAAGGGTCTGGTGAATAGGCCGTAAACTCTGAAATTAATAAACTTAATGGGTTTTACTTTAAATAACTAAAAGAGTCTTTTGTAAGAGATGACTACCAAAAACTTATTGAACTGTCTGAAATATTTTTGGGAGGACATCAAGGAAAGCTTATAAAAAGCTGAAATTTCATATAACACTACATTTTAGCAATACTAATTGGTTTATTAATATATTTAAGGGATAAAATCAACTAAATTAGTTAAACAAATGATAGAAACAAAAGCAATAATATTAATTAGTAATCATATTTAATAAAATCATTAGAAAAATACAGTCATGAAGTATATCTTCTTTTTAAAGTGTTTTTTTTACAATTAGGATATAGATTTTTGTGCTGTTGCACGCATAGCAGAAGAAATTGTTTCTGCTCTTCATCGGCGGTTAACAAACCGTGAAAGTCCTGCATTAGCTTAGTTCAATAAGTTTTCGGTAGTCATCTCTCACAATAGACTCTTTTGGTTATTTAGAGTAAAACCCATTAAGTTTATCAATTTCAGAGTTTACGGCCTATTCACCCGACACTTCCGGGTAACTACACTCAGAGAAATATCATGTCATGAAAAGCATATGAAATTATATTAATTTAAATAATCGGGTAAATTTGATTCAAATAGAAAAAAATGTAGTTTTATATTCATTTACCAACAGTTTTACAATGTTTTTAAACAATTTTAAAGTGTACTCTTTTTAAAATATATATACAAAAAGAAATCTATTTATTTCATTGCCTTTCTCAACGTTATTTTAAAAATATATGTATTATACAATTGTTATATACCTTTTAATTTAATGAGAAACACCAATGACGCCAAAACATATTTGAATCCCTTTGAATTATTAGGGATTCAAATATGTTTTGGCGTCATTGGTGTTTCCCATTAAATTAATAGGTGCATAACAATTGTATAATTATTATACAATTGTTATGCACCTATTAATTTATACATATGTATCTTTTTGAAACAACATATACATATGTATCTTTTTGAAACAACTTTGAGAAAGGCAATGAAATAAATGAATTTCTTTTTGTATATATATTTTAAAGAGGGTACACTTTAAAAGTGTTTCAAAACATTGTAAAACTGTTGGAAAATGAATGTAAAACCAATTTTTTTTCTATTTGAATCAAATTTACCCGATTATTTAAATTAATATAATTTCATATGCTTTTCATAACTTGATATTTCTCTGAGTGTAGCCACTTCCCCTAAAAATATTCATTTTTATTAAAGTATACACATAAATAAAACTTTATTTTAAAATTTTTTAATAATTTATAATATAAGGGTCACATAATAACAAACACAAAATGACTTACAATTGAAGACCTAGCGATCAACCGTGTTACAAAATACCGCGCGCCTAACATTGGCTAACGGAGGGTTCAGATGCAAGTCGGCACGGGTTCCCGTTTATAGAATGAGCTAAAATTTTTACTGGGAGTACCTATATAAACAAGTAATAAAACAAATTAGAGGGTATGCGTAAAAAAAATAAAAATAAGGGACACCCTAATGTACATACAAAATTTAAGGAGTACATTTTTGTAAATAAATAAAAAGGTTATGGATTTTTGATGCGGGACAGGTGGTGGTTTTTAGTGACTAATCTCTATAATAGAAGTGGTTTCACACTGATTTTTAACATGATGTCCCAACTAGATTATTTTGGACATAAAAATTTTTACTAGAAAATAATATTTTATATCGTTAATTTTTTTCAACCGTTATTTTACCCCGTTTGATAAAAAAATACCATTGTAACTTAATAATTTTCTTGGTATATTACCTTAAAAATAATATTGTGAATTGTAGGTAATTTAAAAAGTATATTTGAAATACAAGTTAAACATACGTGACAGGTCAAACAATATTTAGCTTATTACATGACGTAGATATTTTAACAAAGCAAGTTTTATGATATAGGTGACATATAAGTATAGTATTTAACAGTGTATACCCAACAATAAATGGAATAAAATGAATTGCAAAACAACTAAAATGTAAGCATTTCCGTTTCACCAAACATCTGGGTAATATTTTACTCAGTTATTCATATCGTCATATCAGTGTGGAACAAGACATTTACATTAACAAAAAACTTTTAGGAACAGTTTGTGTGCCTTAAAAGGGATACAACTCATATTTTGAAACTAGGTACTCTTATTTAGAGTGTAAACAAATGAGTTATGACTATTTTGTTTTAAAGTAATGATATACATTTGTATTAAATAAAAAATAAATGTACCATTCATAATATTCTCGCGAAGTATGTCGACATGCCTGTCTCTATCAGGTCTGGTGTGTTCGTGCCAAAATCCTACAACGTGACCCAATTCGTGGACCACAATGCCAAATTTATCGCAATTTTTTCCAATACTTATTGCTTGACCACCGTTACCCCTCTTTCCGACAAACGAACAACACCTATAAATCAAAAACACAATTATAGTGAATGTTCTACACATGTTCACAAATATCGCTTAACTTTTGAAAATTTGATCCAAATTGGATTCAAAAAGAAATTAGATATTATATATTTTTATGAATTCAAGGTAAAATCTTAGAAAAGCCTAAAAGCCTAAATGTTTATATCTTAACAAAATACAAAAACTATTAATTTCTTCTTAAATAATGTTTACCTGCTTCCACTATGGTAACTAGGCTAATGTTGTTTTAAACCAGGTAAGTTGAATTTACCGTGAAAGGCTGATTGCTATTGGCAAGGTCTTAACCAGGCTTTGTTATCTATGGTCTTAACGACAAAATTATGTGACATCCTTTAATGTCAAACAATTACTTAGTGCCAGTATCAAAATAAATTGATCAAAAAAGTATTTTTATTACATGAAACCTAGCTGTGGGAGCAGATAAAACGTTATATACCTCGCAGAAGGTAAGTTTTGACCAGTCTCGGACTCTTTTGCCAGCCCTCGCACACTCGGGCGCAACCTCGTCCTCGACTGGTAAAATCTACTTACCTCCTTTGTAGTATAATATAGTATTTATAGGAAGTATAGTCGCAAATATAAAGGAACACCTTTAATGCTATAATAAATATAATAAATGATAAGCAACTGGATAGACAGATTTCATGAACAAATATTTATTAAAATAATTATTAATGTATTAATTTAATTCTTACCCACAAGGTCTTTCTGTAAACGTAATATAATCCACATGTTCATCCCTGTTTCTTTCCACAAATTTAACACAAGTGAAGTTCTCCCAATGTCTCATGGCCTGTTTAAACAGTGCTTTATGAAGTCCGCTGAAGTTACCATCAATTTCGTAAGGTATGACACCATAGTTCCAAACTCTTTCTTTTCGTGCTGTTGCAGCTCTGGTTGCTCTTCTATGGCTGGTGGTCTCTCTTATGGATCGGTACTGTGGAAGTGAGGGTTTCTTTCGTTTTTGGTCGAAGTTCGGTTCGAAATCATGGACCGGAATTTCTTCCTCATTTTTTTCGGTGTTTCTCTGTCTGAAATTACTTATCTATTATTAGCATAAAGTTAAAAAAAATCCACAAACAACAATGAAACAATTGTATTGTACATTATCTTAAGTAACGCTGTTTAATTTTAAAATTAAATTATTACTAAAAATAATAACATTCGAGTGTTAAATGTGGATTCATCAGAAAATACCACAAACTTTCGAAAATTTCTTTGTTTTAAAATTGTATCTTCCTTACAGTGCACAAACAAAAATATAAACGTTTTGGTTCATTACCTCCTTCGAGAGTTTTCCCAAAGTGTGGTTTCCACGGAATAATTTTGTTCTCCTTGAAAATTGTTTGAAGGTGTGATTTGATAAATTTGATAAAGTTTTAATGCCCTTCTTCTGAGTGATAAACGGAAAGATTCCGCAGCAAAATGTAATGCATCGTCTTCGTTGAACTTTACATGAAAAACTCTAATTTCTCTATAAAGGGTGTCCCAGAGAAAAAGGGAACATACCGAAAGTTATGCGAAACATACTTGAAAATTAAAATGATCTCTCAAAGGATAAGCGAAAAAATAAGACAAGGATAAAAAGCGATAGCCAATACCAATACATGGCCATAAGGAATTCTTTAAATTGCTAGGATACTTAGGATGCATTGGTGATATTATAATATGTAAAATATTTGGTCGACTGAAATCCACATTATTGTGTCACTGCTCACAATTTTTGTTCCTGTCATTATTTAACATTGTAACAAACGGGGCTAGGGGGCAAGTTAATAATTATAAAAGAATATTAAAACCATAAAAAACTACCTTTGGCCAAAACACGTGATCGTCTAGTTTACATAAATTAAGTTAGTGAATACGGTTCTGGATACGTAAGTACTTAATTGAAAAGATATTTAAAAAGCAAAGAAAAAATATTAAATTAAAATAATTTTATTCCTAAAGGCAATTAATACAAGAGTTAATATTATTGCTACTGTACCTTAATAATATAAATAAAAACATTTGTATTTGAAAAGTATCATTGATTTAATAATTTTAATAAGTTAATAAGGTAAAACCTTAATACCCACATACACAATCCAGATATGCATATATTTCTCACATCTCAACAATATTAATAATTAGGGATGGGAATTTAGTTATTTTACCTTCTTTCAACCGATGTAACTATTTGAAAACCAATAATGCCAAAATGTGTTTTAAAAGATTTTCTTTTATATGAACCTAACTTGTTTTCACCTTCTTTACCTTTTTTGGAGGTTTTTGCTTTAAACTACCTTTTTTATACTTTTCTTACCTATTTTTTTAACTAGTTTTCACCTTTTTTACCTTTTTTGGAGGTTTTTGCTTTAAACTACCTTTTTATACTTTTGTTACATATTTTTTAATTTGTCGTTTTATTTTCACATATATGTTATCTATATTTACGTATTTTTACTTATTTTATTTTTTTGTGTTCTTTTTAAATTTTCCGCCAATGTTTTATCCAGGGCGTGCAACTCAACGGTATAGAATTTTTTCTTATGGTCACAGCATAGAAATTATTCTATTATTCTAAATTATTTCTATGGGTCACAGACTGTAACAGTAACTTTCTTTACAGTATTTCTTTGTATTGAGCTTATGTTCTGTCATAGAATTTCTGTGTAGTGAGTGTCACTCAGTGAAACACAGTTTATTGCATAGAAATAGTTTATTGTGGGTATGTTCTGTGTTTGGGTATGCGGCTAAACAAAATTATAAAAGAAACTTGAACTTTTAATGTTTTTTTTAGAGATGGGAAAATTCCCATTTGACGAAAATTCCCGGAAACTTTCCATCGAAAATTCCCGAAATTTTCCGAAAGTTTCAAAATTTTATTGCGAAAATATTTTTTTTATGCCAGGGTTTTTTTGATGAAGCTGAATAATCCGGCTTCATTGAGGTTATGTAACATAACTTACATTATTTATACTTCTTCTTCTGCCTTAAATTAACACACATTAAATTCTTATTCAAAGTTTCTTGGCCAATTGACATTTAAATGAAAAAAACAAGGAAAGTTTCCAAGGAATGTTTCCAAGGAATGTTTCCGGTAGCTTAAAAGAAACTTTCAAAATGAAAATAAATTCCCAATTGGAAACTTTCCAAAACGGAAAGTTTCCTTAAAATGGAAACTTTCCGATTCCCATCTCTAGTTTTTTTTTACCTAAAATGCTGTTTTTTTAACCTAAAATGCTTTTTTTAGTACCTTTTTAGTTACTTATTTTTTAGTTTTTAGTACCTAAATATCCCATCCCCATTAATAATACAACAATCAAAGTAATGAATATAAATATAATCAATTATATTATCATATTGCTAAGAAGTAAGTAATAGTTATTTATGTCATTAGGTTAAGAAGTAAGGCTTTTTGTGCTAAGCTCAAGGTTTGAAGGCCGACGCGTAGCGGAGGCCTACAATTGAGCGAAGCACAAAAAGGCACTTCTTGGCCATGGCATACAACATTTTATCTTTAAAGCACTTTATATAATTCAACATCAAAGCGGCCTAACCTCACTTTTTTAAAATCTCATTTATTTATCAGCTAAAGATTACATTAAATGTACAATAATTATTATTGCTTGTAGAAGCAGTAATAGTTTGATAATACATACCTAGCAACATGATTTAAGTAGAAATGGATTTTTGCTATTACATTGAATTCAATTAATTGTTTAATAAATAGGTAGGTATCTAATTTCAATTTGTTTGGATTTTTATTTAAAAAATAGGTAGTTTGGAATGTTTAAGCTGTGTTTAACATTTAATTTCACTGAAAACTTAAAGCAAATTAAAACTTAAAGATAATTTAAATCGTAGAAAAAGAATCGTGCGTTTTCTTGGTTGCCTAACCTCACTTTTTGTTTTATTATTCATATTTAATTTTACAATAATTTAATGAAAAATATTAAACATTAACAGTAAAACAAACAAATTAGTGCTTATTATAAATAAATTAAACCAGTTTAGTACGTTAATTTCTTAGAAAAGGATTAATTTGTCAAAACAATACCCCTAGCAAGAAAAAATCGAACTAATTACTTGCCTCATAAAATTTTTTATCGGCCTAGGCCATAACAAGGTATTTCTTTATCGAATGTTGACAACAATAAAGTTTAAATTATAGACCGCGTGGAGATAAATAATTTTATATAATTATAAAAATTATTAATTTAATTTAATTTTTCTATTTCATGCTTCTTAAAAAAACTATTATTAGTTGGGACAATTTCTTATAAAAATTGTAGAGACAAAAATTGGGTAAGGTTTATAAAAATATTATTAATATTATTATTATTATTAAATTTGATATTACCATTAGGTACCGTTTAGCCTTTTGATAGATTCTGGATAGCGCTTTATTTGGAATATTTCAATGGTTAATTTAATTATATTAATTTAGTTGACCCATACTTATTTAAATCAAAGGTTAATATAAACAAAGATTAGTTTGACGGTACTAAACCAGATAGTTATTTTATTTTTTTAAATTGGATAAATTAACCCAGAAAACTTTAATGAAACCAATCCGCTGTATGGTTCACTTTACTAAATATGTTTTTTGTAAAATAAGAGTAACTTCAACCTTAAGCACTCTGTTAAAACGATTAAAACAATTTGCCGTGCATTCCTAGTTGCATAGTATGTACCGATCGCGGCAAAGGCGGTGTGGATCACGTGATGTTCTTAAATCTCGCCTCTGTTGACTTACATGAAGAGTATATAAGCTCAGGTAGTCCTTTGCTTTGGTTTGACACTACAAGTTGTTCGATACCACAGAGACCTTAAATAAACAGCTGTCAATACTTGAAATATTTTAACTTGATGGAACGCACGAAAAACATTGTTTCTAGCGAGGTGAAGCCTCACCGTGAAGGTTCAATTTTCTGGAATAATACCACTGGTATTATACTAGTAATGCGTCAAGGAACTTTCTGTTTCTTGAAGAATATAAGAAAATGGAATGAATGGCTTCAAAAAATGTTTCTACTCCAAATATTTCAAGATCTTATTTTAATTGTTAGGTATATATTATATTGAGTCAATTTAATCAAATGTATTTAGTACATTGGACTGGTAGGTAAAGGTCACTTTAACTAAACTGCGCACCAGTCAATGTGTCGCGACCAAAAATTTCGCCCTTTTTCAAAACGACATAACTTTTTTGTTTCTTAAACGATTTTATTTTGGTTTGTGATGTCTGCTAGCCCCATTCTCTGGCAATTCATGCTATAGATATGAAGCTCACGGTTCTTCAATTAAATTTACTACAGGGTGATATGTAAAACAGTGAAAAATTTCAATAACTTCATCCAAGCCCCGTTTGTAAAATATATTTTTTTTTTCTCGTTTTTACTTTGAAATAATGAAGTATTATGTCCTACCTTGAAACGTTTTTCAAATTTTTTGAATTGGAATCTTAGCAACAAAAATATGATTTTTTTTTCAATGAAGTACATTTGATGCTTTTTTGTAGGCAATACACTCAGCCTTTTTAAGAACAAAAAGATAAGATGGTAAAAGATTGTTCCTTGAATAATTCTGAACAAGCGACAAGCAACAAACTTCCATTAATTTCAGAGGAACCTAAGCAAATACCACTTTTTCAAAATGACATTTTGGAGAAAATTTGCGAAAACTTAACCTGAACCGATATTTACGTTCGTGACATGTTTGCTTTATAATTTTGACCTCCTGATGTGATTCAGTTGTCAAATTTAAGTTTTAGATGAAACCAACATCACCAAGAATCAAAATTCGAAAACAATTTCCGGCTGTTAAATGTCTCAATAACATGCCTTTGCCAATGCCATTTGGGGATTCATTTTTGTTTGAGTGGTTAGGATAATGTTACATAAATTACATTTATATTGCACACTAGTGATAACTTATTACTGATAAGTACCTACCTAATTGGTAATAAAGTTAAATACAAAATTTGTTTGTTTTATTTTTGAAAATTTTATGCGAAGATATAATCATAATAAAAACTACAACATTC